TTGAGGATATTGTACATGTATGTAGTGATAGTTTGAAGCAGTGTCTTGTTGATTGATCAAGAATATGTTGACTTGTGTTTCTGCTTGTCTGATCAATCAACTTTGGAGTGGAAAATCCACATATGCTTTGCAAAGCTATCATTGTGAGAAAAGATCTTTTTCTTTGTATATAGACAGCATCAAATCTTTTGCTTGCAGGGGTTGTGGATTTCATCTTCATGCCTTCTAAGAGAGTGAGAATTGGAAAGGATAGAGTTGCAAGACTCATCTGTAGAAGAATTGATGTGTTCACAGTGATAGAAGTCTGTCTGAAACTTTGTTGTCAGAGGATCTGTTGACTTGTGACATTGAAGTCAGTTAGAGAAGTCATGATGATAGATGTTCTTAGAGTTGTCTTATTGCTAAAATCAGCAATAGAAAGAATCAATAGAAGAGAAAGTATAATGCACATGATTTAACTGATGCCATCTCAGATATTTCAGCTGTTGATAGCTTTTCTTGCATTCATCATATCCACACATAAATGATTGTTCAGTGAATTTCAGTCTGTATGTTGAGTATATATGAATGAATTCACAAATTAGTTCCTTGGGAACCCTGTTAATTCTGAAGTTAGTCAAGATTATCTTTTCAAAATATTCTCAGACAGCAATAAATATACTTATCAAGAATACAATTCATTAGCTTCTGCTGAAGTTTTTTTCTGGTCTCCATGTTCACATTTCTGATATACTGTTGTTAAAATTTTAAAGAGCTTCTCTTCAGTTGTAATGGGTTTCTCTTTCTGGAAGACTGAAAGCTGATCATTGATCTGCTCTAATATGAACATCTTTTTGAATCAATCTCTTCAAAACACTTAAGTCAGCCTCTAAATGACATGACTATTCAGAAGGTTGAAACATACATACTGAAACTTAACTGATTCTGTAGTGTTATCAAGAAGTGCCTTTCCAATCTTTCCAGTCATGCTCCAGAATATTATAGCTTTATCTCTAAGTTCATTAGACAAATGTTTGATATAACTAATAAACATGTCAGTAGTCTCTCTCAGTGTTGAATTGATATAGATATCTTACCATGCACTTGTCAAACTCAATGACATTTGGGAATTCTTTCAAAGTTGATACTGATGGTTCAGATAGTACTGGACTGCATATTGAGTATATTTTTATGTATTGTTGAACTAGCATCTCAGAGATTCTGTTAATTCTGCAGTTAGTTCATTTGATATTTCTAAGATGGGATTTGAGTCTGTAGTATGAATGTACTTGAAATATATCATTCTAGCTTATGCTAAAGTCTTTCTCTGGTTTTCATGTTGGCATTGCTGATGTGCTTCTATCAGAATTTCAAACAGCTTCTTTTTGATTACAATGAGTTTTAGAGTTTCTTTGTGATAGATCAATGTTTTGTTCTAGGTGAATATCAGTCTGAGAGCACATTATTCCATATGGCTTTTCAAAACATATCTTGAGTATCTGGTTATTGCTGAGTGTGAATGATTTTTTCACCCAGTGCCTTCAAATCATATATCAGCACCAGATTTGAAATGACTATATATTACTTCTCAATCTAAAAAGAACTGAAATTTCAATATTCATATCAAAAATTTACTGATTCTATGGATGTGTCTTTGAGGTTAAGAAGTATCATTCTTATCTGTTCAGTGTTGTTTGAGGTTATTAAGATCTTTTCTGAACTTAAAGTATAATAACTAATAATCTGTCAGTGATTTTTCTTAGAAATGAATAGATATAGTGTTATCTCTTTATGAGCTGATCAAACTTCTCAATATCTGGAAATTCTTCAAGGGCTGGTGTAACTGAATCAGATGTCATTGAGTTTCTGCTGTATGATATCTGCTCTTCAATCTCATTCTTATAGATATACTTCTCAGTATCAACAATATCTTCAATCTGATCTGAATATTGATATTGAGAAATATGAGGTTTGAAAGCAAGTGGAGAAGAGGCAGGCAATTGCCTCATTGATTGATTGGAGAACATACTGGCTCACTGACTTGTCTTGATATGATAAGATGTGGCTTGTGAAGTTTCTGAAAAAGAACAGACAGTGAAGTATACAAATATACAGATCAAGACAGAGTTGCTTCTATCTCTTTATACTTGTGAATAATCAGCCAAATCAGAAAATGATGAAAAATGAGCAGAAATCACAGGCTGTCAAGTGAAGTAGCTATTTTTGACAGTTCATCTCTTGATTGGCGCGCTGGTGCCAAAATCATGTATGTATATAACAAAATGTAAGACAAATGGTTCATATGGCTCTTTCTCTTGTATAAGAACAAGTCTTGAATGACTAGTCTGTGTTTGCTCAAGGCAATGAGCTGGTGGTGATTGTCAAAATGAGCAAAAATCAAATATTAGACTTGATACTCACTGTAGAGGTCATCCTCTGTTGGGAAATTAACTCCAAGCTATCAGTTGCAATGAGAGCTCATTCTCTGATTTCAGTGATGTATCATTTTCTGTGTCAATGTAAGGTGCAAACAAGGCAATGAGTGAGTGGACAAGATGCATCAATCAGAAAAACATGACTGTCAGAGATCACAATCTCCATCATCTCAATCTGAAAAATCAGAAAAGATAAACATATGATGGTGATGTTCTGAGCCACTGAATGACAGGGCTTTGAATTTCTGTTGGCAAAATATTAGATCAGCTGAGAAAGTGATAAAATACATTAGTCAACATCAAACATCACAGTCACATCAGCACCAATTCAAAGAATTCAAGAAGTGAAAATTATTTCAAATCTCATCAGACAATGCATGATGTAAGCACCCTTGACTGGTATAATCTTGTCATGGTTTTAAGCTCAAGGTATGTGTAGCCATTGTGTAACCACTAGCTTTATTAGTTAGAAGAATAGTTCAGAGTTCACGCCCCAAGAATGAATCATATGCAATAAGATAGTTATTGAGGTCTATACAAGTTGTCACTTGAAGCTCTTAATTCCAGCTGTGTAGAGAATTTGGCATCACTGGGGTTTTCTTCAACATTCAGAATTTCTAATTTTTCAGAATGCACTATTTCTTATTGATGCAAGCAAGAATAATTCTATTTTTGAGTAATCAATCATTTTCCTTTGATTCAACAATATTATCAATCAGCAAATGATATATATACTGTACAACAGAAAATCACACAGAGCTCTGCATCAGAGAGAAGTAAATACAGATTGTCAATATATTTCAAACTCATTCTGAAACTTTCACTTCAAACTTTGCAAAGAAAGAAAGCTGAATGAAAGAAGAAAATGCAAAGCAAGTATCTTTTTCAGTCAGCTTCTGCAACTGTTTCAGTTTCATTTTCATCTCTTTCAGTTTTGAATCTGTTTTCATAACTTTCCACAGAAGCTGAGTAATTTTGTCACAGAGAAAATGATCTTGTTTTGTATGAATGTGATGGATATGGTATTTGAGACTTTTGGGAGCTGAAATTTGTGTTGGTGTTGTCAATAATATCTGTGAAATTGCCTGATATTGAGTAGAGAGGTAGGATTTGCAACTCTGATGACAGAGTTGTTTCAATATGCTTGTCTGATTTAGTGATTTTTTCAAGAATCTGACTGGCTTTTGAAATGCTGGCATCATGGCTTGTGAGATGAGTGTCAATAAGATCAAGAACAGTCTTTCAGATGTTGAGGTTTCAGGTTTTGATGTTTTGGAATTCAGTTGGAGGAGGTCTTTGGCAGATGTGCAAGCTGCCTGTGGTGATTGTAGCTGAAGTCAACTCATTGAGACTTCTAAACAGATTGCTAGATCAAAAGCCATATTTTCAATTCACAAATGTAGACTGTCTTTGCATCTGTAAGAGCAAAAAGAAGTTTTGAGAGTGTATTTTAATGAATTTCAGCAAGACTATCAACCATGTATTGTATGAAATGCAGCTCATAGTCTTTCTCCACATTCTGAAGTAGGCTGTATAGAGTGGGTTAGAGAACACTCTCAATGATAATTAAATCTTTGGTCAAAAGTCATAGGTCAATGAAGAGATCTATGCACCAATGTGTCAAGATATATTAAGAGAGTGTGATCTTCATTGCCTGGCAAAGAGGTGCTGATGTAGTCTGGATTCATGAGAAAATATATACTCAAGATTCATCTATTAGTAACTTATATAATTTATTGGTTTTGAAAACATAATATTTTGGGAGTGGATATGAGGGGTATGAATAACTAAGAGAAGATATCTTCTGCAAAGTGGGGACTGTAGCAAGCAGTTTCCCAAAGTCAGAAATAAGCAGCAAAGTAGCCTCAAGATCAGATGACATTCTGTATTCAACAGTATCAGTTTAAATTTTACTGATACTAGCTGAATGTGTCTGATGATCAATCAATAACTGCATCATAAAACAAATCATTGATTGAAATTCAAGATTCAAGAAGACTATATATCAATCAGCATCTTACAATCCATATTACAATCAGTGATGGAACCTCTTTTGCTTTTTATATTTGCTTATTGGTTTCAATGATTGAGTGGCATGTATTGCCAATGACTCTCTATTCCATGAGTTTTCAGAATTGCCATATAACTGAAACCTCAGATTTCATGCATTTCTATTCAGTATTGAAGTTCTAGTTTCACTTCACAATTTTTACATGTGTTGTTCAATGAGATGGCACTGTCTTTTCAATATTCAGTGTATAATTGAATGAAGACCAGCTTTAACTTTGCTGAAGCTGCATTGATATAGTCTATCAGTAATTGAGACAAGATGTCTTTGTACACTTCATCATTTATCTCTTTCACATAAAGACATTTCAATGTGGGGGGCAGATGATCAATTAGAGATGATGAATATGATACTAGAGATTCCACTGACACTTTGAGTCTTGTCAGACTTAACAGTGTGGCAAAGTTAAAGATGGTTAGATGTATCTTACCACAAAGATGATTGAGGAAAAATGACTTGAGGTTGCTCAATTGAGATAGCAAGTGTGTGATACTTTCATCTGCTGATAAGCTGGTCTTTCATTCCTCTGCTTTCATCAATTCATTCAATTTGTTCATCTGTCTGATATCATCTTTTCTCAGATCACTGATCTTGAGTGTTTTGATATATTCAGCCAGAGTTGAATCTTTATTGATCATTGCTGACAATTTTAACACATGGAAATATGTCTTCTTGGAGGTGTTCAAGTTGATGGTCTTATAAAGATATAGCTCAATCAAGAGAAAGAATTTGCAGATATAAGCTAGATATGCAATGTCTTTCATATTCAGATGGTCTGCAATCTGCTGTTTCAGTTCAATAGATAGTCTGGTGATAGTTGTCTTCATATTTCAATATTGTGGTGTCATCTGGAGAGGGGCACTATAACAGCTCATTGTTCAATTCTGTTTTGTCTTTGCTCTTTGTGACTGAGGAAATATTTTGATCAACTGAGCAGCTAATCACATCACAGCTATTGCAATTGTTCAGAAGACAACATCAAACAAGATAAAGAGAAGAGTAAAAACTAGAAACCAGCTTAAAAGTCTTTTGAAACAGAGGTTAAGAAAATGGTTGAGATTGAGATTCTGTGATTCCATGCTGGCTAGCATTGATGTGTGTAGAGAATAAAAGAATGGGAGAAGAGTGGGTGCAAGATCTCTCTTTATGAAATCTAGTGAGAGACACAATAAGATTTAAAGTGCAAGTCAGTCTTACTGTTTTCTGTCTGAGAAACTCAGATTGAGCCTCTGGAATTTGTTAGCATGGAACAAACAGTTTGAATCTTTGCTTCACCCAATTCAACTGAGGATCAATATGTTCATGGCCATTCATACTCAATAAGCTATGAAGATACAGAAGGGCTGACAGCATTTGTTTATGTACAGTTTGATATCATTCATTTACATTCTTCAGTAGCATTTTCAACAAGCAACAATCTAATCACTCTGATGTGTTGCTTGGAGATTTGAGATCACTTTGAATGAGTTTGAGATTTTATAGATAAAACATATTAATATGCACTAAAACAGGTTCTTCTCCAGATTTTCCAAGTCTGTCTTCAGTTGCTTCTTGCTTTCTTCACAAACAGCTTCTAAATCATACATCTGTTCTTGAAGATACTGTACCTCTCAACAAAGCTTAGCATCTTGCAAATGACAATATAATAAGCATGTGTACACAATCTGCTGTATATATCTGTAATCTTCCCATAAAGCAGTTATATGCCATCTGAACCCATTCAATTCCTCTGTTTCTATGTCTATATTTGAAGCACACAATATAAAACTGGCCAGCTTTTCAAACAACAAAAAAAGCTTGTGAAATTCAATGGAAAATTCTTGAAGATATTTTTGTATGTTATCAGTTGTCTTGATGTTGTTAAGATGCTGAAGAGGTTTCTTCAGAGTGTCAATATTTTCTTCAATATTCTGTCTCATTTGGAGTAACATGCTATAGAGATCATTCAGATTGGCAATATTTTGATCAATATTCTGTCTCTCTTGAGCAACAATATTGAGAGATTTCTGAATAAGATAAGCATTAAGAAACAACAAACTTATGGAAACAACAAACTTATCATGATAGAAAGACAACTTGAAGCTGATTATATACTCTTTATGAAAGTCTTGATTAACTTTTTTGTGATTCTGAGGCTTCTGTGAATAATGATTTGTATTTTGCTATATGAGTGTGGATGAACATGGCTATTCTTATAGCTGCTCAGAGCCTCACAATTAATGACTAATTAAAAGATGCAAATGAGATAAGTGATGCTGCTCATCTGCTCTTTCTCAGCTGTTCTACTACAGAGAGATCAGATAGCTACTGTATCTTCTTGTCTGAGTGAGACATAATTAGCATCATTTTTCTCAGTGTCTTTTTAGTCAATCACAAGTGTCTCTGTTCAGAATCCATGCACAGTATTGGCACAAACATCTCATTAAACATCTGACTTGAAAGTTGAGGATTAAATTTAAACTATTGGAGAAATTGTTGATCTGAGAGCCTCTGTCTAAATTCCCCACAGTATAATTACACTCTTCCTTACAGCTTCATCTGTCACATCAGGCTCATTCTGAGTAATGAAAACATATTTCACAATACTTATATCCACATACACATCTGTTGACTGCTGAGTCAGTTCCTTTGCAGTAGCAGCACTTGATAACTCAATTAATTCAGATCTTTCATTTTTATTACATCTTTCTTCAGTTTCTGCTTCAGTTCAGTGTAAGGCAATATATAGAGCACTTCTGAATCTTCATTACTGTCAATAGCTTGGTTAAGACAGATCACTGAAACTGAGCTTTTTTGAAGATTTGTCTGAGCATCATGATAGCTATTCACTTGATTTGATTTGTGTGATGAGTCAACTGATATTTTTTCCCTATACAGTCTTCTTTCATGCAAGCACTCTGAATATGATGCATGGCTATATTGTCAACATTTCCCTCCACTGCTAATATCCTCCTCACAGCTGCAGCAGTAGAGTCTCAGACATTGGCAAACTGCTTTTTGAATATATTCTTTCTTGATTTGATATTTTCTCTGTATTTTGTTCAATAGATCATGTGCTGTGATTTGGTTGTCATTTTGATTCTGAGATCTGTTGATTCTCTTGTTGGGCTCTGCATTTTTTTGCATTGCATCAGTGCTTGCTCTTTTTCATACTTGCTGACCTGAGATCAAATCTTTGTTCATCTCTGAAAAGATATTAGCTACACAATGAATAGAACATTCTAAGAAGATCAATACCTCTTAAACTCAGAATTACTTTGCTTTCTGCTCTAAACTGTTTGTGTACTCAATTGTACCTTCACCAGATCATGAAGTGAAGAATATCATATAAGATCTGAAGATATTTGTGCTTGAGCCTTTAGCTTTAATATTCTTATTCTGAAGCTATAAGACTAGAGTAAGAAGCATTCAGCTGCATGATAAGCTTTCCAGCAAAGAAGACAAGGCAGAAGCAGAAATGAAATCTGGAAGTTAGATCAATTGATATTGTTATAATATTAAATAGAAATAGCTAAAACCCTTCAATGTTCAAGCAATTAGAAGCAAGTAAATTTAGAAGAGCATGGGATCTTGCTATATGACTAGAGGCAGCCACATTTCAATGCAATCAGAAATAGAAAAAATCAGATGTGTTGTCTGGGAAGCTATATAATAGCACAGTGTAGAGGGATCAGTCATGGACAAGAGTTGTAGAGGAAAAAGAAGCAAAATAAAAAAGAATTTAAAAAATCAGAGCTGGAATAATTGAAGCACAGCTTTTCCATCACTATAAGCAGTCAATTCATTGTATCTCAGCTTCTGTGAATAGTTTCCCTCATGTTTCTCATATTATACAGTAAATATCTCTGTGCTCAAGATTGATAGATCTGAATAGTAAATTGAGATCACTGCTTTAATTTTCTAGAAATTACTGTTAGATCATCACAGCAGAAACAGAAGAGGGTGATGTATCAGATGTGCTGTTTCAGAGTGAGCTGTTTCAATCTTATCTAGTTGTGTATAGTTCTCAGTCATTGATATTGCTCTGATGTCAAACCCCATTACAGTCTTTATCATCATCATGGCTCTATCATGGCTTGAAATGAAAGAAAGATGAGCAGAATGATTTTCTTGATGGGGTCTGAGCTGGTCTAGATTGAATGTGTTCTCTGAGTTCAATAACAGTACTGTGTTCCCCAGCTCTTCAGACAGAGTGGAAATATTTCAAGTCAGATAGACATCAATAGTAATAATCAACATTATCTGAATTCATATCAGTATACATTGAAGTGATATTTATAGTTTCACTGAACTTACTTCAATTCAGAGGGGTCAGTTGTGGACAAGTTCATCTGCAGCAAAACCTGCTGTTATAATAATGAGAAGTGTATGAATTGCAACTTCACAGATAATAGATCTCTGAGATGATATACTGTGAATTCTGCATCAAAAAAGCAGACTGGCAATTGTGAGAATTATATAGTCAATAGATACAGCCACAGCTGTATCTTTTATCAATACTTTATAAGCAACTGAGCTAACTCAATGAGCAAAGATCTATCAAGACTAGAGGGAAGAGCACATCATAAGATCAATCTGAGCTTTATCACAGAGGACAGAAAACAATACTCTAAAAATAATCAATGCAGAAGAGTATTTATAAATGATCTGATCTGAATTTTGCTCAGCTGAATCATCTAGATATTGTGGTTAGTGAGGATCAAAGTAGAGGACTGGAAATAACACATCTCAAGAGCTAGTGGAAATGCTGTACATATTCTCAAAGAATAGTAAAATGCTGATGTATCTGAAACAAGCATTTAGCATTTACCATCACTATCTTGAGGAACTGCTCACCCCCACACCTTAAGCCTGATAGACTAATGCCAATGACAACAGCATTGACACAGATAAAGAGAACAAAGATTGATATCTCAGATGAATGGTGAGGTTGAAGGCAGTGAATGATAAGCAAGATGAAATGCATCATACTTAGCACAATGAGTGCCACTGACAGAAGCATATATGAGATGTTAGAATACATTTTGTAAGAAAAGAAAGCTAAGTTGATTCATTTTGAAATGATCTGATGGAGAGATGTCTTGTGGTTTATAGCTATCAGACAGCCACTCTCTGTCTTGAATGAGAACTTTTCAATCATTGAAGATATGACATCCTCATTTCAGCAAATTTTGGATGGCAAAAAATTGCTCAGAGCTGGTACAAATAGTTACTCTATTGTTATTAATCTGTTTTGCAAGGCACAGACTCAAGCTGGGCTAGTATATCACACTTGTGCTGGTGATTGACACAAGTTTTCTTGTGCTCTCAACACAGATACAATAGTAGCATCTGTATCTGTTGCTGATTGGGAAAGAAAGTTTAAAAAGCTCATTTTTGAGCTCAATATCACTCTTGTCTGAAGCCATCATGGTGCTGCTACTTTTGAGGAAAGTTCATTCCATAGAATATGATGTTGATGAGGAGAAACTGAGTAGTGGTGATGCTGTAGAGGTCAAAGCAACATTAATGCAATATCAGTAGTCATTCTCTCAGAACAGAGCAGTGACTTGTCTGTGGCACATCAACTTTGAAGAGCTACAAAACAACAGACTCTGCTCTTTTGGAAATTTAGTCTCTTTATTGAGTTGGCAAGTTTTTCTTCATCAGTGCAGACAGACTATTGCATCAAGAGTGTGTATAAATCTGAAATATGGGAAAATCAATTGTGAGTTGTTGATAAGTTTGATTCAATAGATGCTATTATATATGAATCAGTGGTAAGTCTATCTGTTCCACTGTTCACTGACTGCTCTGCCAGCTGATGTATTGATTGATGGGCTGGTCA